TGTCACATCACTAAATTGCAGACTTTTGGACATAGAGTTGTCCCATATATGCGACAAGTCAGTCTACACCTCCGCACAATAATTCAGGCAGTGAGTGACTTTTTTTCATCACAATGCTTATGTGTCTCTGTACAGCTAGCTTTGCTAACATCACGTTAACCGAGCTTACCTTCGAGCTACTTTTCTAAGTGACGAAAAAAGTTAGACGTTGTCTCCACCGTCTGTGAAAGCGAAGCGCTGCTGAGTTAGCTGTGGCCATCGGATTTCTTATGATACGATATTCCATTACTGACCATTAGACAAACATTTTCTGCCGCTGAGAGAAAACCACTGCGCATGTCTCGTGCGAGTGGAAGGTGGGAGAAGAGGGGAGAAACAGAAACACGTAACTGGCAAGTCACGTTATTGGTTGGATTTTAATCGGTGCGTTTTGCATCCACTGAAATCAAAGATGTTAACAAATAAAGTGGACAGTATGCTCATGCTGTACGTTTAGTGATATTTTCACAGTTGGGGTCTCGACTGGTCTTGAAATAAAATGCCGAGTCCTCAGAGCCCGAGACCGAGACCATCAGAAAATTTGGTCTGGAGACCGAGACCGATCTCGAGTACTACAACACTGTTCACCAGTCCATCCGTCTCTATTTCCTAATAGTGTTGATTTTACTTTATTGGAGAAAAGGAAAAAAGAAAACCTTTCAGATCCGTATTCAGTACAATCATATTCAGACAATAAGTACTATGGGTACGTTCAAGTTCATACAGATGCTTCAAAAACTCAAATAGCAGTACGAGTGGCATCCCGATCCACTCCGTTCCAGTAGATGGCGGTAATGCACATCAGTAAGTTGCCAACCGCCATAAAAGAAGAAGAAGAAGCAAAGAGCTGCTAGGTTTTTGCACTTTGAGCGGTTTGTGACCAGAATTATGGAGAAACATGAGAAAATAAAGGAGCAGCAGAGAAACACGGACCACCCAGCTGAGAAACCTGCAAACACAGTGAAGGTTGGTGTTTTAGATATATTTATATCAGATGACTTGAATTTTAATCATGTGGCTCAAACTAATGTCACTCTAATCGTCGTGGTGACGTACTTCCGTTTAAATTTTCGCTACATAGATCGTTTCCAGGTCCCTCTGGCTCCTATTGTTTTTAGCCAAAGCTGCAAGATCTGTACCATGAAAAAGACGAAAAACTTAAAATATCTGTGAGCTACTGGTAAAACAATCGAGTTTTTTGGTGTATCATGGTGTCCAGTAATTAGCCGGTACCATCCAGTACTTAGTTTTTTCATTTTCCTGCTGATATCAAGGTGACAGCGGAATGTAGCCACTAAAGCTAACACACATCTATTGCTGCACATCTATAACACACTGCTAGTTCAATCATCTGTTATGTGAGTTGTATAAAGAGCATTATGGTCAGGATACAAGAAATTTTAATTGCAAGAATGCAGTCATCGTTACAGCAGAATAAAGATGCAATTTTATAACAATTTCTTAAAATTACAAGAGTCGTTTTAATGAGAAATAAAGATTCAGATTGATCTGACGTAACCAGCTCAGTCCATGTGGTTCTGACATTTGTCAGTAATCAACAGGATGTACATTTCCACCTCACCTGACCAGGTAAGCATTAAGGTAAAAATAAAAAATAGAGCAAATACTGTATACAAAATGGGAAAAGCAACTGATAGAAATACTTTCTATATAAAGAAAAGCAAAAAAGTTAATAGTAGGAGAAAAACGTTAGTTCAGCTGATCTCTCCCTCCAGGAAGCCTTCAAACTGAACTCCTGTCCAACTCCAACTATAATAAAGATAAAAAAGGAAAGAAAATGGAAAGTTAAAATAACAAATAATGCCACTTTAATAATTCAGATCTAAGGCGTTCTGGAATCTATTATTGACATTTTACAAATTTCACAAATCAATTAGAAGGTTTCACAAATGTTTTATTTATTCTGCTGTTAGTACAGAATAATCTAGTTAGGTTTGAAATGTCCAGGTGTTGTTTTTAAAGTACAACACATTAAAAAAGCTCCAGATGATGAAAAATTAAGTGTAATCGCCCTTTAGCTATTTTCCGAATTAGATGCTACATTCAGAAGCTAACTTCAGCTTCGACTGATAGCTTGGGCACAATATAGACAGATCTATATATGTTTATACAGATATCTATCTATAAAGCATAGATATGTAGATTGCACACTGCACAGATAATCAAAACACAACGTTTACATAGCACCTTTGTAAGCTTGTCCCTGTTAGCTACGTCAGACATGAGGCATTATGGTGAATACAAATGATTTATTAACTTACCTTCGAAGTTATTGTGAAGTTTTGACACATCCAGCTTAAATCCTTTGTTGTTGTTGGAGCGTTTCAAGACGTCTGAATAATTTTATAGGCATCATTAATAGTCCTGCAGTGACTGAGGAGCCACTGTTAACTTACTGCTGCCTTTGGACCGGAACCATTCTATGTGGCTAAAAAATGCGGAAGTGCTAAAACGGAAGTCCGTGGCATATAGGTTAATTCCCAAAACAGCTGCAGAGTCCAAACCATGTTTCAGTTTAAACTTTTTATTCAAAGTTTGTCTATAATCATGAAAAAAGGCCACAAGATGAACTTCTGGGTTTTCAAACCATTTGACTCATTTAAGGATGACTTGTGACCAATTTCATTCATTTTAAGGAAATGTCAGTTAACACAGCACTAGCTAAGTGTTTTGATTTTTAAAGAGATGCTAGCAGCAGGAGCAGCTTAAGCATGTTCCTCTATATCTAACATGTCTTTCATTTTATATTTATTAGACCTTGAAAACAATTGGAATCCAGAAACCCGAGAGTGATTCCTGTAAGAAGATCTCTGCTACAACAACATCTGAAACTTCCCAAAGAGCAGACGAAGAGAAGAAACCGTACAGCTGTGACCAGTGTGGGAAATGCTTCAGAAAACCATCCTGTCTCAAACAACACAAGAAAATCCATGCTGATAAAAATGAAGATAAAAAACTGTACAGCTGTGATCAATGTGGGAAAAAAATTGCACGACTTGACAATTTAAGAACCCACCAGAGGGTTCACACTGGAGAAAAATTGTATGCATGCGATCAATGTGGGAAACGTTTTCGCTTTGCAAATGGTTTAGCAAAACACAGAAACATTCATTCTGATGTAAGAAAATACAGATGTGACAAATGCAGCAAAACCTTTACATGTTTAGATTATCTAAAATCCCATTACCGCAGTCACACTGGAGAGAGACCCTACTGGTGTGAGCACTGTGGGAAAACGTTTAAGTATCCAAAAAACTTGAAGCGACATCGGTGTGTACGCACTGAGGGAAAACCATAATGTTCTGACCACAGGTCCAGTTGTGCATTCTAGAAGATTCTTTTGGGACAAAAAGACCCAAAAAGGTTCTGCTGCTGTAAAAATACATTTTATTTTTTAAATTTTGTGAGAGCTGTTAATCTTGACAAATTTGGAATAAAATCTGTTTTGACCTTATTTTGTTTGAAATCTCATTGAACTATTTGGTTTTACTCATGAGGGCAGACAGACGTCCACTGAGAGGTGTTAATGATTAATTACCAGGTTTTAGCTGTTAATAAGTGTTTACATAAAGACCTGTAGCTCTAAAACCTCTTTAAACACAAATATGAAGCGGCTCTAAATGTTTTCATGAGGTTTATGGTAGACTTTTGCTTTTCTCCTCAGGGCTTCAATAATAAATTAACTTTCAGGAAGTTAATGACCAGCTAATGTGTCCAGTAGTTTCATGATGGAAGTTTGTTCTAAAATCTCTCAAACGTGTTTAAAAGTCCGAAGCTCTGAACATTCAGACACAATTATGTGGGAAGGAAGTGATGGTCTGGAAATCTGTTTAGATTAGCATCACCCTCCTGCCTTCACTGTAACGTTTAATATAAAGTTACAAACTGATCTGCTGTGTTGCTGTTTTACTGCCTTCATCCTGTGGATTTACAGAAAATGTTTCAAACTTCTCACTCCTGTCATCCTGACCTGACAAATGGCATTTTAAATTATTTCATCTTTTCTGGTATTAACCAGAACAATTCTGACCAATTTAAACGACTTCAGTGTATTTAATGTAACTTTCTGCAGGAGAACCCAATAAATCCACGTGAAGCTGCTCTGAGTCCAGCAGCGTCTCGTTTGTCTGACGTCTCCAAACGAAGACTTGGCTGTTAGCATGAACTCCTCTGGATGTGTCGACGTTCAACAAACGGATCCACAGTGAGGAAAATAAGTATTTGATCACCCTGCAACTCTGCAGGTTCTCCTAGAAATCATGGAGGGTCTGAGATGTTCATGTTGTCCACTGGGAGAGACATAAAAAAGAATCTGGAAATCATAATGTTTAAATTTAAAAAAATAATTTAGTTGCATGTTGCTGCTGTGAATATGTGCATATAATGAATAGTAGCCACACAGGCTCACCCACTAGAAGGAAACAAACGCACCCAGCATAACACTGCCATTCTATTGGCTGACAGATTGCCAGGCGACAACACTTTTCTGTTCTGAGCAGAAAATGATTCTCAAGCGAGCAGAGGTTCACAAGCGGAGATTTGATCCGAACAGAGAAACAATTTTTAAGCTCAAGGAGGAAGGTTTGAGAGAGCAGAGTGAACATTTGAGAGAGCAGAAGTTTGGAGGAGAAAGACATGAAGTTCTGCTTTCAGACTGAAAATGTTTGCTCTGGAATTATGGCAGTAAAATTCCCCCATACTGGTGTGGAGGATCAGAAACTGGATCCTTTCATCTACATGTTTGTGTAAGATAATAATTAGTAGTAATAACTTATTTAATCGGCTTGTCCCATTGAGATCAGAAAAGCTCTTTAATTAGAGAACAGTTAACTCATTAAACACATTAAACATATGGATGCAGTGAAATATATAAAAACAAATAAAACCACTGTACTTCTGTAACATGATGGGTCTGAAATATTCCCTGAACAGTTTTACTGTTATGAAGCTTCACTTTAATTCAGTTTGAATCAGTTTTCTTCCTTCATGTATCTGATAATGTTATGTATCTGAACTCATTTTCCATATTAATGTTTGCAGAAACATGTCAGCAGTCATTCTAACCATTTATCCCCCAATCTAGCTTTCCAATAATAAATGATGATAAACATCCATCACTTATGCAGCAGGTATTCATAAGTAATAATGTAGATTCTAATGTTGATCCTAGCAGGTAGAAAACAAACAGCAGGGGGCGCTGTAGCAACAAAAAAGACATTTATATTTGAATGTTGGCTTCATTTCTTATCCTGATTCTGTGAAAAAACTGCAGAGAAGAAAACTTTATATTAAACCTGAGAGCTTAGCGACAGAACGTAAAGATCGCAGCTAATGGATACTTTAATGTTTTGACCCCTGTCGGCCACCGTAGCTGGAAGAACGACACAGCAGCAGCTTTGATTCCTGACAGTTTATTGCCATCATGTCTGCAGGTCGAGCCTGAGATTGGTTCCTGATACAACAAAACCCGACAGACAGGAAACACCCGAGCAGCTCTGGGCCAATAGAACGTCTCTAACCCCCCCTCTGTGATGTCACAGCTTCAGAGGCTGTGATTGGTGCAGAGGTGTGGGTGGGCGGGGCCGGCAGTGAATGTTCTGGAATCGGGGTCCCAAACAAATCCAGAGAAAAAAGAAATAAAAACAAAACGTCAAATAAAAAGATGAGTCTAAATTAATCCTGAAACTCACACACACACAGAGAGACACACACACAGAGACACACACACACACAGAGACACACACACACACAGACACACACACACACACACACAGAGACAGACAAACAGAGACACACACACACAGAGACACACAGAGAGACAGACAAACAGAGACACACACACAGAGACACACACACAGAGAGACACAGAGAGACAGACAAACAGAGACAGACAAACAGAGACACACACACAGAGACACACACACAGAGACACACACACAGAGACACACAGAGAGACACACACACAGAGACACACACACAGAGACACACAGACAGAGACACACACACAGAGACACACACA